ATTGCATCCCACGACGCTGCACATCGATTATCCAGTTCCGTACACAGATAATACAATAAACAAAACGCTACTACTTAGCAAATAAAAAACGAATACATAAATAATGAGAAAATGATACACGTAAGAAAAAAAATCAAAACAGAGAAAATAGATTAAAATAAATAAATGCGTTCGGTCTCTCCACACCTCAGACCACAATCCCAAATTTTTTGCCGGATTTTGGAAAACCCTCATAAGACGGGTGGTGGAGTGGCCAAAAAGTTATCATTTACACCACACACCGAGCAGTGCTGGCATATGCACAACAGCAGCTTGAAAGACCTCTGCCCCATGGATACATTGGCACTCATCAAGCAGACTCCAGTTCCAACATCCAAATGTGTAAAGCAATGAATTAGTGAAAGGTTAAGGATGGCCTTCTTGTAAGAATACCAATACTCATTACACACCTGTGTAAATAAATGTAGCCTTTTGCAAATGTTTGGCAATGTTTGCAGGAATTAATGCACAAATGTACACGTGTACAACAAGGAAGCGTGCAGGGGAAATTCCTTGGAATTACATTGAGATACAAAAATAGTAACACATGGTTTTTAGAGAACATACGTTGATTAAGGACAATAACTCTTACGGCTAAGTGTGATGGGGCCAGGGTATATCTTTGCATGGGATAACGACCAATGGGTCAAGAATAATTACGGAGTGGCAGCCAATGGATGGAATGGGTTCCACTGTGGAGAAGGAGAGATGAAATCAGCTCGTGTGAAGGAGCCAGATGAATTTCTACACCGCATGACCGTGAGACATTGTGATGGGTTAGAGAGGTCTTTGTCGAGCAGTGGATTGCTCATGGCTGCTGCTGCTGATGAGTAGTGTGCATATTGACTAACAAAAGCATTTAGCAAAGTGAAAATAATGAAATTCCTCAAAATGTAACTGAAGAACTTGCCTACATGGATGAAATTCCAACGAGTGCACTTATAATTATATGACTGTGGCACTAGGTAGCAATGCTATCAAAATCATTAGCATCAGCATCAATATATTTATTGATTTAGAACCATACAAGAGCTCCTTCAGATTAAATATTTAATTTACAAGGAAGATCCAGTTATAAACAATGTAGGAATCAATAAAGCTTTGTCACTTTGAATGCTGCCTCTTTCCCCATTGGCAAACATTATTTCCATAAATGATTTTCTGTTATTTGTGGAGTTTATTAATTTATTGCACAACTCAACAAAATAAAACATTACAAACAAAGGCAAACGCACAAACCCAGCAGCCTCCAGAATAAGCATGTGCTCCTTCAAGCCCTATTGTGATATAGTGGCTAAATCACGCAAAGCATTTATTATTTTCTGACCGATTTCCCCCCCCCAATAAAGTGGGGGGAAAAAATATTTTCTGTTATCATGCTATCGTGGATTTTGTTGTTGATAAACCTGCAATAGTGTTACCAATTAACCTTTTTTTCTCAGAGGTAAATGAGATAACAAAAAAGTAGATGATCCCATTTGCGGGTTTCGTGCCCCGGTAGTAACAAAAACCTCTTAGATATTTCTGAGTAATTACCTCTAAAATAGACTTTTAACAATGTGCGATTTCTGGGTCATAACGAGATAAATGCCCAGGTTGGGGGTGTAATTAATTGCCGGTATCACTAACCCAAACAAACTAATTCCACTTTGGGCCTTAATCAGAACTTAATCAGGATAAGTCTTGATGAAGGCCTATCGACCGAAATGTTGACAACCTTGTATTTTTCTTCTTTGCCATCACTGCAATTTCACTGTACACCGTACAAAGCCATTTATTTAATATAATTGACCTCTGTCACTGATCAAGGTCACATCAGTCTGGCTCAAGCAAAGATTGAGTGCTGGACGTCTAGTGGGTACATTAGCATTTTAAACAGGGTAGGAATCACCGGTGCTTGCAATATGTCTGAATCCTACAGGGGGGCTATTGATTAAAAATAAAAGTCAATGACCTCTAAGGCCCCATAAAAGCCACAGAGTGGGCATGTATGACAGAAATAACATCATTGTTTCCTAAAACATTGCATTCATTACTTCCCCCCTCCCTCCCAGCCAGGCATAAAAAGAGATGTCATTCAACAAAATTGGGAATTTGGCTGTGAAATTAGATTCACGTATAAATGTATCTATGTACCCTTGCCGTATCATGGCAGAATGATGAACTAAAACCGGGGACAAATATATCGTTCATGAGCTTATTTCTTTACTATAACCGCCAATCGACAAAAATCTACGGAATCTAGGACTCTGACATCCATCTCATATATACAAAATGATTACCCAAACACGCAATAATACAGCAGATTGGGTCATTCTGATCGTTATGCCACTTGCAATGCAAATTCTGGTCTAAAAAGTTAACAGATGTTTGAAAGATGCCTTAAACAATGCTCTGAATAAAAATTGACAATTAGGCCAAGCTTGTGGTGTATTTTTTTTTATAACAAAACTCGAAAGGATGATCATACTTGTTTTTTTACTTTCACCCGTTGATAATTGCTATTGTAGAATTACATACGAGTAACTTGGCCGAAAGCAATGAAAGCGTCACGCGCCCCAAACGCTGGCAGACGTCGCAAACGAGTTGACGAGGAGAAAGAAAAAAACGTAATACTTAAAAATCGCTCGTGCACATTTCATTTTGGTTTCAGCCGGTTAAATATCAGTACATTAATTAAAACAAATGTAGCTATTTAGCTAAAAACCGCATTACGTTCCCTCTGTGGGATGCCATAATTTGCTGCGCTCATTCCATGCCAGGAGAACTCTTGCAGAATTTCAACAACAACAAAAAATAATTGCAATGCAAAAAAATCTAATTGTACAAACGCTAACCTAATTCGCTAATATTACCTCTGACAAGTCAGATTACTTTGTCGCAGTTTCAATTGCTCCAAAAAGAATTACCGTGAGAAGTAACGCATGGGAGCCACACAGAGAGGAGATGGCTGCACCGTTGGCTACCCCCCCCAAGGGCTTCATGATTTACCACCCAAGCCTGGTCTTCCGTTGCACACGGTGTGCATGTCACCGTGTGGCGCGACGTTCCACCGCGCAAGGGACGCGCAGCTGCCAGTCCCCGACCGCTCGCCAACGGTAAAGATCTCGCGACGCCAACTGCGGTCGTTGGGGCAAGCTCTCCTCTTTGCGGCGGCGTTAATTTCGGGAACGAAGTCGGCGAGCAAAAGATACTCGACGACGAATTGCTTCGTACATTCGCCAACGGTGACTTCGAGTGGACAAAAATTGTCAAGCGTGACGATTGCTACGACTACCTGCAAACTGCATAGGCACGAGTCGGAATGAGGGCGCAAACTCAGATAATTTTGTAATGTTAGGAGTGACTGCAATACACGAAGAAACACCAAACATGTCCATTGGGTTAAATATTATATATAAAAAGAGAATTAATTCACCGATTTGTTTCACTGATGACATTTATGGGTACTGGGGGTGGGAAATGTGCACCCCACACACCAACATTCATTAGCTAAGAGTGTTTGACTCAATGTTTGACCGCTTGAGGCAATCTAGACTGAAATAATGAGTGAAATGAAATGAGCAGTTTAAGGCTTCTGCGAGTTTTCGTCAATTAGACCAGGACAGACAAAAATATGTAACGTGCTTTCTCAAATTAATATCGACTTGCTTAGCATTGAGTTCTACGTTACGTATTCCAGAATAAAACAGAGCCTTTTACACGAATTGGGTGCAGCTACAATGGATAACGATGTCAAATTAATAGACCACACAGCTAAGGCGACATGATCAAACGTACACAAGTCAGGAGATATGTAAGCAACTAAAAACGTAAGCAAAAAATATCAGAGACAAGCGAGGTGACTCGGGGCTGCATGGAAGTCCTCAATTAGCACCTTTGAGATCCCTGAGTTCAGGACCTGGGTCACCACTTATGATAAAGGATTCTCATTTAATGTGAATTTGATGTCCTCAGCACAGTCACCAATGCTTAAGAAAAAAAATTCCATAATGAAAAAAAATTATAATAGCACCTAATTTGGCCTAATGCGACTCTGAGGGTTACATTAATCAGCGACAGACATCGCCGCGTGAATCATACATCCATATGGACGGTTAAATAATGAAAAAAAAACCAATGCATTGAATACATGTTCAACATAGGCCTGCAACGTTGCTTTTATTTCATGTTATGCCTTCCCTTTATATGTGCTCAGTTATTGTAACAAGTTTCTATGGTGTCTGATGTTTCCTCCACATCAGTTCATGTAAATAGTTCCTGGTGTAACACCTTTTATAGATGCTTCTATAATTAAGACGGCATTAAAGTCTTCGCTAGTCTGTTTACGAATAGTTCCAAAAAAATGGCCATTTTAATTTGATTTTTGCTTTAATTTTGGCAAAATTCCAGCTCAAAGATATTTTTAAAAAACGCTGGTTTTGCTGTCGTGCAACAAAACACATCTCAGAAATAATTACGTGACATATTCTTCCACAGACCATTGTCAAAAATGGAATGATGCACTTCTCTTCGAGACTTAAAAAAAATATATACATTTCTTCATCTCATTACATGACACCTATGAAGGCAACTGCAATTAAACTGCAGAGAAAAATACTTTCTCTGCAAAAATACACGACCTTGCTGTGGCCGTGAGGTCACATGAGTTGGGGGCTCAGTCTTCGGCCCTCTCCCCACACCTCGGCGGGGGGGGGTGGGTGAGGAAAGGAAGGGAGGTCCCTACGCCTACAAGTGTATATGAAATTAATGTATATGCAAAACAAAATAATGCATGAGCTGAGTTCCACGCGTGTTGGCCACTGGAATTGTCTTCCAATATCTATATTTGGAGCATATCAGTGACCACCGTATAAATAAAGTACTTTTTTTATCACCATTGTGTCCACAGCACAACCTTGACTATATATATTTTTTAAACCATCAGTGTATCCACGGCACGACCTTCGCCACGTGCTTACCGACAGAGCAGTCGGAGCCAGTCCAGTTGGGGTCACAGCTGCATGAATCGGACTCCACCAGGTAGCTGCCATGGCCCGAGCACTGGTCGGGACACTTGAGGCGCGGAGACTCGCAGTTGCTGCCTCCCCAGCCCGGCGTGCAGATGCAGACGCCTTGCACGCACACGCCATTGCCAGAGCACTGCGGCTCCATGCAGTCCACTGCAATGGGGGAGGAGAGGGCACAGGGTGCAGGCGGCCAGCCCAGCGACAATAAGCACGAGCAAGTGCCAGCGTGTTCTACGCCAAAAAGTACAACATCCCCACCCATGAGCTGCTACGACAGAACTTCCCTTTGACTCGTAGCAATTAACAAGCACAAATAAGAGAGGGAGAGAGAGATCTCCCCTATTTGAAGAATGGCCATTGTGCCAAGAAAAAAGTCAAAGAGATTGCTTTGCTCAAGTGAGCTTTTAGGCGGTGCCGTTTCCTGCGGTCTCTAAGACAGTGATGTAAATTCCACGTTTACATGGTGGGGTCACGTCTATCCACTGGACAACAAATATTGAATTACCCACAAATGACTACCTGTCTTATCAAACCCCATAACAATAATGTGCTAAGTTAACCCACAACCAGGATTTTAGCTCGCAACTTTACAATTGTGAGCCGCTCGCTCTATCATTTAACTGGCTGGATATTGCCCCAAAAACGCTGCATATTATAATTAATATTGTTTTGGGCAATGTTACTGGATGATGCATTGCGTTTTTTTTATTATTATTCGTGCTTGTGCACCGCTGCCAACGCGGTCTTGCAATTTTTTTGCCGCCGTTGTGCACCTATTAACGAGACTGGCAGTGCCATTATCAAAGATAAGAATTGATGCTGGGGCCGCCGTGTAAATGGGGAAGGATGGCTGGCGTGTAAAGGCAGGACGAGCGGAGGTCACGCCGTCTCGCGGGTGACAGCCCCTGATGGAGTGTGCTTCAAGGAGTCTCTCAAGGTCATCCGAGATGGGGAAGGCTCAAAGCAGACGTCCAGCTGTGGGGCCATCTTGACCTATCCCCCGCTTCCTCCACGCTCCCCCCACGCTCCCCCCACGCTCCCACCACGCTCCCCCCACACTCCCCCCACGCTCCCCCCATACTCCCACCATGCTCCCAACACGCTTCCACCACGTTCCCACCACGCTCCCCCCATGCTCCCCCCACGCTCCCCCCACCTGACCAACAAAGCTGCTCACCTAAGCCGATGCCCTCAAGCGCCTGGTTCAATCACGACGCTGATATGTTCCGCGGGGTGTGCTAGGTTATCTCGCGAAGGGGCCCGATGGCTGCCGCCGCTGCTGCTGCCGCCGTGATGATGCGTTGCTGCGCTGCGCCATGCCGGCTTATGTTGGAATGTGGAAAAAAGCGGCACTCGTAGAGTGCATCGGAGCAAAACCCAACTTGGAAGATGATTTTCAATTAATTTTCTGGCATCGCTTCGGTCGTTAATCTGCAATAATAACTCGGCGCATATGTCGATGCTAATGAAGGTTGGCGACTACTGTGGCTTTGGCTGTGGTGCCCCCCCCCCTGCTAAAAAAAATTGAAGCTCAGCAAATAAAATGGGTGCAAATTAAGAGGCGGGGGGTAACGCCGCAAAAATTTGTCGATTAAATTCTATTCTTATGCGAGCGGTACGTGCATCAAACGGTGCTGCGTGAGAATCAATGACTTTAGGCGATCCATTTCTAGATACCCCAACTAAATACTAATGTCCCCCCTCCCACTTTCTTCCCAGCAGCAGATTGAATGCTGCTGAAAGCGCACGGCTCCGTATCTCGCAGAGGAGAGCGTCGAACGATTCAATAAGGGCATTGACATTGGTTGGAGACGTGTAGAGGCTTTGAAATAAAATGTTGCTTTACCTGTCATTTCTGCCCATTATGTAAATGGGGTATCCATAAACGGGATCATACTTTTATTATGTTTGATTTTTATTATTTTATTTTATTATTTCCCTTCTACGTGACTTTACCGAAAGAACCAACAAGACGGATCATACTGTGTGCTGCACGTGAACCCTGCAGCTACTCGCGATGCTAAAACTCACCACGATGTTTTTAAAACAGAATCGATGAATTGCATCGTGACCAAGAATCGTGGCCTTTCATGAAATTGCAAAGTGGGGGGGAGGGGTATGATCGTTACAGGCCAAGCCAAAGGACATTCAATTTCTCTACACAATCCTGCAGCACAAACACCGAAAGCTCTGCCGTGGCACTACGGCTTCATCGCCACTTCGTATGTGTGGGGGGCACGCGGCACACGCACTGTCCGAGATGCATCACAAAGCAAGTGAAGCCGCCCCCCCCCTCGCCCACCTTCCTCGCAGCTCTCCCCCTTGTAGCCCGGGTGGCACACGCAGCTACCCATGACGCACGAGCCGTGCCCACTGCATGCCGGGTCGAGGCACTGCTCGGATGGCACGTCGCACTCGGAGCCTTTCCAGCCGCTGTGGCAGAGGCAGCGTCCGCGCAGGTAGAGGCCGTTCCCGCTGCACAGCACCAGGCACGAGGCTACGCGCGGACAGGCAAGCGGGACAGGTGCTCGTTGAACGTTGTGCCACCTGCGACAGAGATCGTCACAGTGATGTCTCCCCACCCCCGCCATCACCACCCCCTCTTTGTTTACCCGGCAATGATTAAAGGGGAGTCTCGAGAAATTTTGATGTTGGGATCCTTCTTATTGTAATGTCCTAACCAATTCCATTAATGGGTGTTTGGCTATTGGGAGAAATTTGACAGCCTTTAGAAAACACAACGCGTTAGGGATGCTGCCAAAGCACACTGGTTAGCACAATGGAACTGCAATGCAGAGGTCTACGGCTCAATCTCTCGGTGAGGCAAGTTAAAACAATTGGTATAGTTTCTTAAATCTCCCTGCCTCTGTCTACCTAATCGTATATTGGGTGCACCATGGTTAGTCGATCAGCAGGTTGCCTCCAGCGAGGAAGAACGGAACAAAAAGCCTTCTAGAGATGCTCTCTCTCTCTCAATCTTATTCTGGTGTAAGCCCTTCTGTCAACATCGGCCTGAGTGAGAAATTGCAGGGCTGCACCTTTACTAATACATAAGGCTGAAATGTAACGTTCTGAAACAGATGGGTTCATGAGACCACTTGCTGTACCTGCCAAAGTCCAAACCAGCTGGTATTTCCAGACATGCATGTAGTAACGGGGCTCATCCCTCAAACCTGCTTGGCTTTCGAGATCCAATGCATTTGGGTGATATTGGCGGAGCAATGTTGCACATGATGTCTACTAATCGTAAAGTAAAAAAAACCCATCAAAGTGGTTTTCTTCTCAAGTGAGCATTGGGGAGTGCTCATCTCCTGATTACAAGCTTCAGTCATTGGTGACAACTCCACATTCCTCTGTCCCCAGAGGGACAGAATGGGTGGTTCGACCTCTGACCAGGATTTCAAGCCACATAACCTTGTGGTTACGGACCACATTGTTCTAAGCATTGTATCACCCGGTCAGACGCTTCTATTGACCGCAGGTTTATTAATTGGTGGTGTTTAAGTTAAATGTTACTGGAGTGCAAACAGGGTTTAATTTGGTGATGCATTCCTTTGTTCAGAGCTGCCTTACACAATTTAGAAGCTTTGTTAATAATAAAAAAACTCTAAAAGTTTTTGTGAGAACAGGTCATTATAACACTCGTTATTTCACTCACGAGCATTGTAATGCAATGCCAAAGCAGTCGAATCACTCGATCACTGTAGCAGTCGCGTCTAAAGACGATTTTAAAGTATTTTGCTCATTAAGGAAACTGCAAACTCACACTGGACAGCCCAGGAGACACAAACACACAATAACTATACGTTAATCACGTCGTCTCTTCCATAAAGGAATAACATTGAAGGGTCTGTGTGCTCATCATAGAGAATGTTAAGGCACAGACGCCTAATGTATACACGTAGTATACATTATTTTCAGATTTATTTTTTGTCACATGGGATTTTCAGATATTTTTGGGCACAGTTTTGGATTGAAAATGATTACAGTTAAACGTTATAAAATGTAAGCGGAACCATTTAATTATAAACTCAATCATTCATGTACTATATTTAAAAGTCAGGTCGTGTTTCGTGAAAGTGATGTCACGCATGCGATGCCAATTTTGGTGGTAAAAAGCACAAAAATCATGACAAGGAAGTGACATCACTTCACGTGGCATCACCTTTCTAAATCAATCCAAATCAAACATTTGTTGTTATCACGTGACATTTCATACATCTATTCGAGTTTAATTAAATATATATGTTTAAATGTGCACTTATTACATACTACAAATACGTTTGTATTGTCTGGACATTGATAAAAAAAACAGATCCGGGTGATGTGTTGACATTGACAGCAGCATGCAGCTCTGCATGTGTTTGGATTTTTTTAGGTGGAAGAAGAAGAAGCAGGAAGAGACTTGGCCGAGGCGTTATCGTCTCTCTGGCTTATATATAAACCAAAAGTTGGCAGCACGACGCACTACGAGTCGTAACTCATCTTCACAGCCAGCGAACACGGCACTCGAGGGACAAATAAACAACGCATAATTACCGCGTTTTTGCATTTTTATTTATGCATAAAATTCCTGTAAATTTAAAAAACGTCCATCAATTAGGCTAGTTATCTTCCCCGGACGCCGCGAAGCGGTGATAAAGGGGTCCTCAGGGGCAGGGGCACAATGACTCGTGTGTCCATCTCCGCGGTCAACCTTTGTTTAAATCTCTCCCCATGAAACGCACGTGCGAAATTCACATATCACATTTATTGGTCACTCTCAACACCAATAAAATTGTGTTGGCGCGCAGTGCCCGGACACCCTCCTCCCACCCCCTCTCATTGTTGCCGTGCCCAGCCTTCATAGGTGCTGCTCGCTGACAGCACTTGCCCCAAAAGTCTGTTTGAGGCTACGCGGAGGCTCTTTGTCTTTGTGCGCAAATATTTACACGCGCAGCGGACAAGCCGCAATTCACTTTAAACAACACACACAGCATTTCGTAGCACATGACGAATACACACACATCGCATTGGCTCGTGGGCACTTCGCTGTGAACTTGAAGACCCGAGTTCGATTTCTGCTCACAAAGAAATAAGTAGCAAATGTCTGAACCTATCCTCGGTCTCCCCTAGGTCGATTCTGCCTTCAGGGAGTAGTAGCTGGTGCGGTGTCTAAACACATTTGCATTGGGGAGACAAAGTCGGTCGGCCGTGGTGTTAGCCAGCCACCCCTTCGTGTGCCGTGCCAGTCTTCATCGGTGCTTGCTAACAGCCCCAAAAGTCTGTGAAAGGCCACATGTGGGATTCTTTGTCTTCATGTTTGTATATGTACACATTCAACTACTATTGAAATATGCAGTTTAAAATATAAAATGAATGCACTTTTATCGATTTAAAGCTTTCGTGACTGCATGGATTCATATTCTTGGATCTACGTGACTTTACCGAAAGAACCAAGAATATGAATGCACTTTCTTTCAAAAATCTATGAGGCAAAACAGACAATCATTGTCATGTATTACTCAGTAATGATTTTAAAGAAATCTGTAATTTATATTCTAAACTATGTAAACTACATTGCAGTGAAAGCCCGTGGGACTATAGACTGAGACATATTTTACTTTTAAGTGCAGAAACGAATGGAAGGTCCTTTTTGTTTATTGCTCTGTACCGGTTTTCTTTTTCCTCAAATCTCATCCTGATTGTCCTATCGGCATCGCATCACGAGAATAAGTGTCAATTAGGATCTCTTGAAGAGCAGTGCAACCCTTCGTGTGAGAAACTGGTCCACAGAAGCGGACAACAGAGAGCTACTTCCGAGTTTGCTTTGATGACTACAGGCCCGCACAATAAGGGGCAGCACTTGTCCACATGTGCCACGTGACAGTCAAAGAAATAGATTTTTTTTAACTCTCCGAGCTTAAATTTAACCAAGTTTAAAAAACGACATTTCACGTCATGGTTATGTTGTTGCAGTCGCTGGTGACCAGGCCGATTACCATCAATAAAACAAATCTTACCATTAGTTTTATCGAGCGTCGTTGAAGCAATTTGAATCTAACAATCGCCGCGGCACCACAGACAAGCTGGAAGGCTGCTTGGCAAGTAAGCTGCTGCCAACAATTGCTCTGCGGTTCTCTATATATTAAGATGTTTTCAGCCAATTAGTGAGTGTTTATACATTTTGGACAAAACCGGAGCCCTCGATGTAACCCTCCGCATGCGAGGGGGCAACATTATATTCCATACAGCTCCTCGATGCCCATGGGAAAGGCATTTCACAACGTTCGTGCGATCCACCAATCCTCGCCCCCACAGCGCTGGATTACAGTCGTGCAGAGCCGCCACGCGAGAATCCGGTTTAATCATGGGCGGTTGAAAGCGAGACACAAACCCAGGGTCTCATCGTCACCAGCTCAGCCCCCTCCTCTGACATTTGCATTGTTGTTGCGTGTGAATGCTCGGGTGTTGTTGTGTGAATTGTTGTTGTTGTTGTGTGTAAATGTTCCGTTGAGCCCCCGTGTTACCTCGCGAGCAGTCTGGCCCTAAGAAGCCTGGGAAGCAGCGACAGATCCCAGCCACACACTCCCCGTTGCCATTGCAGTTGCTGGGGCACTCGTCCACGGCCGCTGTGGACACACATTCGCACGCGGGGAGCAACACACACTCGTCACTACCGACGACAGCTGCCTCTTTCTATTATGATAGCACGTGGTCAGAATGATGGGTCAGCTGTTATCCCAGTAGCGTGGGGGGGGGGGGGGGGAGTTGGCCCAGGGGGGTGGGGGGACAGAGCCCCCCTCTGCTGAACGGTTAGCCTGCATCTCCCCCCCATCCCCCCACATTCTAAATTCTCATAGTCCAGCGGGTGATTGATGACAGCAGGGCACAACGCACAAAAGACGCATGCAGATTGGTTACCGTTACTCATTCTGTTAAGCCCTTTAACGTATCTCTTTGAAGTTCGTTTAACATTGACTGTGTCATGCCCCTCCTGACTTTTCGTGCGCCTCCACCCCCCTCCCCTTGCATAAAAAAGGTTACGCTGTAAGGTTCTGCTGGGGCGGCTCACGCTTAGCATGTTTGTAGTGTCCAGGTCTGGGCAAAACAAAGTCGAGAGCCGTCCAATACTTGCATTATTGTTTGCTACGTGCGGGTAAATTGTACTCCGTGAATTTAACTGCAGTAGTTTTCTTTAATGAAACAGTGGTGGTGGTGTCGGCGGTAGTGAGATCTCATGACCAATATTATGAACCATGATTATTCTCTTTTGGTTTTCATCGTGGAGGCACAAGGACCGTGATCAGGAAGCTCTTTCTCACACGAGAGGCGAGCTTTTCTTAACAACCGATGATGCCGGATGAAAGTCTGCAGCAAATCAGCATGCAAATTTGTAAAAAAGAAATGACATTCTGCTTTGCTGACAAACCAACTCAATTGACAAATTTGCCCACATGACAACTTGATGTGACTGGCTCTGTCGGGTTATAGTTAAACATTTACATTATACCCACATAGTGATCTCACCCAAATGAAAACGATTATCAATCAGAGGTTTTAGTATCGCGGAGATGTGCGCACTGCGTTATGAACCCGGGTGACCCGAGTTCAATTTTCAACCATGGCTAACATCAGTGGAGAGTGATGTTTTAGCTCGTCCTAGTTGCCGCCTTTCCTTTAGCAACCTGCGCTGACGAGCGTGGTTCAACGTGATCACCAATGCCTTTGAAGTGACATGGCTTTGGGGGAGGCCTGTTATTCCAGTCGTGGGTTGACATCGGGCATGTAAATTAAGTATATGTTTCTTTAGGCTGCAAGTCCTCCTTGTGAAATGTGACTTCTATGGCACGTTTACAAATATCCAATTCACAGCATTGAGACTGCCCTGCATAGCAGGCTACGACGAAGCAATATGCTCGTTTGAAGGCTTCTGATCGTTAATATATTTTCATAGGCTTCTGCAACAAAGTAAAAATGATGATTCATTAAACCCCAATTAAAAATGATTTTCCTGCAATAAACTTTAGCCTTAAACCTCCGTGCAGCATGGAAGTGTAAAGCAATCTAGTACAAATTGCTCAATTATATACATGCATTGTTATTTACTAGGTTAAAATCAAAGCAATAAAATATTTACCCAGTGTTAGAAATGTTGATGAATTTAGCGTTGCTTGGAAATAATATTGTGTAATCGTACAATAGTCTCGAGAAGTCTAACTGCCCTCAGGGGAGTTAATCCAGTAACAATTTCCAGCATTTTCAATAGATAATATATTAAAGCGCAGCATGGTAAAGCACATAGTTTTTGTTATGCCGAGAATGCTAATGTGTCCTTTTGGCGATAATAATGGTTGATGATATGCAAATATTTGCAACCAAAGATATATTTGCGCTAAACCGCTTTGTTTATTCAATTAAATTACACAAATTAGGGGCGACTGCCGAGGCCGTCGTAAGAAACCAAACAACAGCTGGCAGCGATGATTTCCTCGAGCGAAGGTGTGCTGGGCGCCGCGACGATGCTGATGTGTCCTAATTAAAAGACGGGATGAAAGGAGAGGCTGCGTCGTGATAACATTTCTATTTTTCTTTGCAGCGTGTGCATTTGCATCAAGTGCCTCGTTGCCATGTTTTTCACCGCACAGTTGCCCTGGAGAGGGGTCATCGCAAACGCAAGTGCAGTGGTAACCGGGTGGCATTTGTGAAACTCATCCCAGGCATCCTAATAATCCATCTCCGAAGTCATTAAACCCGCGTTATGATAATGCCGTAACTGCTGCCATTTTTGTGTGTGCTGGCACAGATAAAGGCGCAGCCCTGCAATTGCTTGCTCACATCACTCCTGGCAGAATAATAATTGGCCTTCTCTGAACAAACATCTTTGAAGAGGTGGGATGACGCACGTTTTATCTCACCGCACACGACCTGCCAATCGACTATGGTGTACCCATGTATACTTCTGGGTGGACAGAGGCAGGGAGCTTGAACCAATGATTTATGGAATGCAAGTGTAGTGTGCTAACCATGACACCATGGAAATATGCCTATAGTTAGTATTATGATAAGAACAATTCTAATAACTTGCAGCTCTTTGTCAATCCATTCATGGAAGAAGGCCTTCCCGTGCTGTGTAAGTCTTGGGGTATTTGACCATATTTCACCATGATAGTAAGTGCAGGGTTGGTGATAGCAGGAGGCTCACAACCAGTTAACATATCACTCACTGCCGGTGATTGTCAGACATAGCCGCAAATTTAACTCAGGTCACCGGGTTCATAGGCGCAATGCATGAACCACCGCCGTGCCACCGCAACACCCATCATTATGAAATGAAATTGTAAAAAATGTATTTAAAAAAAAACAACAATACACAAATGACATAGAGGTAGCCTTAACAGGGTCCCCTCTGATGCTCTCCGTTAAATTGAAACGAGAGATTTCTATGTTGGGGTGAATAGGATAATGCACAAGCAGGTGGCTAATGTACATTACATGTTTTCACAGTGTATAACATAATTAGTGCGTTTTGCAGACCGATTTGTTATAAACCCGGCACATTAAAACATAATTATTTACCTCCCATTATTGTATGCATTCATAACAGTGCTCACTTGGGACAGAGGCATGAGAAACAGGTATCCCAAGCAAGGCCAATAATTAGAAGAGTTGTAATAAGGATGCATACAGCCATTGAATCACGTCTTCTCGAAAGCTTGCAACAAATACGTGAGCTTAGTACATGAGAATGGATGTCCTTCGATTCAAATCTGTTTCATGTAATGGCCATGAATGAGTATAATTCATTGAACGGTGATTTTTCACTCTTACCATTAAATAATTATGAAATATATACAGTCCTTTGTTGATGGACTGCAGGAAGAACGCTTGCTTATTCCGCGTCAGCCATGGAGGTTGTTTGACCATACTTCACCACACTGTTCTCTACGGGTTGGTAAATAGCGGTGGGTGTGCTCACTGCTGATGTCATTCACGGCCGGGGAATCAAACTCGCACTTAACGGGGGTCCCACTGAGCTACCCAGTCCCCATTACACCCACGGTGACTATCAAAAAGGAACGGCTCATCTCCGGCGCGCCGCGGCGATGCGCGTCACACGCTACCGGCGATGCTGGTGACGAAGGTGACCCTCTCGGGCTCCAGGCCGTCGTTGTAGAAGGCCACGTGCCAGATGCCCGGGTCCATGAACTGAATAAAGCCGGCTCTCTGCAGCAGCAGCACGCCGCCCACGTTACGTCTTCGCCGCACGGTCTGCCCGGGGCTCCTCCGGTCGCGCCCCACGAGCCGGCTGCCTGCCAGCAGCTCTATGAAGTCGTACTGCGGAACAAATCAAGCAAGGTGCGAAGATGTGGCGGCCGGCAACGAGAGGAGAGAGGGAACCGGCATGCGTGGTGGGAAGGCGCAGAAAGGACAGTGGTGTGGAATTTCAAAATGTTTCCAGCGCACGGGGTCGAAACGTTGGGCACCGTGCTGAACAATACACAGAACGATCTGGAAACACACGTTGGAGAGTTGTACAGTCCAACCGCCAAAAGCCTAAAATAAACTTGCACATGCACTGTTCAAATCCATGTATGCCATTCGTAGGCAAGCACTGGAAGAATGACAGTTAACATTGATAATTAATTTCCACGTGAAAAATAACTTGAATGAAACAATCATATATGTATTGTGCTCATTGGCCCATGTGTGAGTAACCATAAATTGCTATAATTTTAGGACCAAAATTGACTATTGGCATATAATGGAAATATACTCATTAACAGGAAAATGCATGCGGCGTAACATTTTGAAACGCTACGTAAATATTTGAGATATGCGGAGATAACCAAAATAGTACCATTCAAACAGCCCCCCCTACGCTAAACACAATAAATGCGACGTTAAATAAACCACGTTTTTGGCAGGCGGCGGAGTGCGAAAAAAAAACATAAACGGAAAACCGTAATATGTTCATTTCAATAGACAAACGCTGAAAGTAAATTACGGGGGAAATTGAGGAAGTATAATTTCTGGAACATTATTTTCCAATTTCCCGTTCCCCAATCTTCTTACGGACAAAATGTAAATCTCGATGAATGCTGGAATGTGGAAAATGAGCAATGTGGAATTTGCTGCAGGATTGATTAAATGGACAAAGGAAGATGTTAACTCCCTCACCTGGTACGCAGGGGGTCATGGGTTCGATCCTGACCCTGACGCTTGCTGTATATTTGGAGTTTGTATGTTCTCCCTGTGGTGGCGTGGATTTGTATATGGGTCCTCTGGATTTTCCCTCCAAACTTAAAATCAACGTGCTCTTAAGAGTATTTGTCTGCCATAAATGTCCACGTGATAAGCCACTTTGTTGAGCTATCATCTGTGGTCAGGTAAAGTTTAGTTTAAAAAAAAAAGTTTAGTTCAATAGTTTAGAAAGTAGTAATTGGCCATGGAGCCACGCGTACGGTGGAGGTACCTGCGTGTGTGTGGGCGGCAGCCCCTTGCGACCATATACGCCCAGCACGGCGTCGCGGTCCAGGGAGATGTTGAACTTAAGGTACTGAGCCTGGTCCAGGTAGATCTGGGACCTCCAGAAAACGCCCGGGGGGACATCCTGCGCTGCCCGCCGGCCCACCTCCACTTCGCCCGAATCGATGCTGCGGGAATCCCACGAGGCATTGCCTGGAAAACAACAAGGGGCAGAACGAGGACAAATTATCGTCTTGGTTCTTTCGGTAAAGTCACGTAGAAGGGAAATAAGAAAATAATATTAATAAAACATAAAATAATTCTCACGACGTTTCGGCCACAACGCAAGCAGCCGTCCTCAGGTGAAGAACAGGTCTGTCGGACAGCATCTGATGCTGTCTTTCCGACAGACCTGTTCTTCACCTGAGGACGGCTGCTTGAAGAACAGGTCTGTCAGGCAGCATCTGATGCTGTCTTTCTGACAGACCTGTTCTTCACCTGAGGACGGCTGCTTGCGTTGTGGCCGAAACTTCGTGAGAATAATTGAATTTTTATTATTTTATTAATTCCCTTTTACGGGACTTTACCGAAAGAACCAAGAAGATGAATCCCTGCAGTCACGAAAGCTTTAAATCGAGGACAAATTAATTCAACGCGTAGGCTTTTGCGACAAATGTTATTCACAGTAAAAGGTTTTTGAGTTAGATCGTGTAAACATTGCTCTGTTTAAGACCGGAAGCAGGGAAGATTTCTTCGCAATTCTGGCAAATCGCTTGATGAAGCTGGTTGTAATTATCAGTGAAACGTCTTATTCGTTTGTAAATGTTGTGGGTTTACTCGCCACCACACCAATGTGCTGAATTAATAGTTATGAATTATCTGTGTCGGGTGATGGTGGGTTAACGACAGATTTCTAGTTAATCAATCTAACCCAAAAAAATGTTTTACAATGTGTTGCGAGTGACATGAGCGAGCCGGTTTTTTCTTCTTCTTTTCATAGCGGTTGTAAAAAAAAACATTCAGAAAATCATTGAGAGAAAATCATTGAGAAAAAAAGCATTGAGAAAATCTGCAAATGCGAAGAAAATCAGTCAAACCTCCTGATTGTGTTTTTACAAGAACTATGCACTTCTAATACAAGGTCACAGCTCCACAAAGGTCAACATTCAGCCGATGCCTTAGACGTTTATTGATGGCGAAATAGCGCAAACAAATGCCATTTCAAACATTTTTAAAAAGATAGTTGGATAATAATTGTATTTCTTCTTATTCGTTTTCCTTCCAGATTTCCAGACATTACAAATACATCACAATCTCAGAAACAAATATGCCTTGCTACTTAAACTCCCCTGACCAAAGCCCGGGCCCTAGGCTTATCATTGGAAATAGTCACCTGCTTTTATTTCATCCTCAGCAATATTTTGATCTGCTTAAGCTTTTCTTCCAACTTAAAAAAAAACCGCTGACGCTACAACAAAGATTAGTGCGAGTGTGTGTGTGTAAAGCACCGCATCCACCGCTGTTGTAACTTTAATGCCCGTGATAAGACGCATGTTTGCCATTTGCCACAATGCTTCCAAAGCCAAAATGGCCACATTAAACCACGAGCTCAACCGACATAAGTAATATTTAAATAAACTTTTTTAAAAACACGCTTTTATGAAATGTACTGGTAACTCCACGACTCCAGGAAGTGGCCCCGAAGCTTGCCATAACGTAAGGGACCGTGGCCAATTACAGCCAACGTCAGTTGACCGTGGATAATTAGACCCAAGCCAAAACATAACATATAAAAAAGAATGTTTAAAAATATCTATTTTTTCATTTTTTTATGATAGAATATAGTATTGTCATCAGTATGACATAAGTATACCAAGTTTGCAGTCGATACCATATTGGGAAGTGGGTTAAAATTGAGCTCCAAGATTTGAGGATACAACAACGACAACAACAACAGAGTGAGTTAAAAGAAAGCGTGTAAAAAAAGTAAAAGCTTACTCCGGCCAGGATGTCGGACCTATCTCATTTGAGCACAACTGTGTCCACACAACCTTACGCTGAGAGACACCAACCAACTGTGCTTCTCGTACACAAAGAGTTTTGTTTACAAGATGACCTGTGATTGGCAGCTAAGGGGGTGGTGGGACTGAAGGCTGAAGAAGGAGCAGGGGAGGGGGGAAGTCTATCATCAGGCAATGACAGATCCTGTTGAACAAACAGCTTGACCAGGTGGTGTGTAGTGGGGGGTGTGGACGGAGTAGGGGTGAGTAGACCACGTTCCTTAGCACAAGTTTAATTCATAATCCCTGCTTCACTTGATGCAGCAAATCTGGCTGTGATGGTCCCACCTGATGACGGAGACTTGTGTCGCCTCCGAAACGTCGTGATTTTATTATTTTATTCTTATTAATTTTCATTTCATTTTTTACCTACGTGACTTTACCGAAAGAACTAAGAGTATTAATTCATACACTTGCCTCATCGCGGTGAATCTTGCGAGCATCGGCTACCAAGACCCACGGCGTGCATCTTGTCACTGTCAAATGTAATTGTAACGACAACGCGAAGGGCTCACGCCGTTTGACACCACGGAGGATTTACAGCGAGTGAACCGTTGTCAATTAACACAGTTAGTCAAGGCGAGTCAATTTCCACTTATTTATTTATTTTGCCAAACACAAGTTATGTTTATGCATGGGTGGTCAATCTCACTCTCTCTCTCTCTCTCTCCCTCGCTGACAAAGGGCTGACATTCACTAAACCAATCCCGCGCGTCACGTCAACAAATCAAGGCTTGTCGAACGGTCATAAACATCTCAGCCACCAGCAAGATGAGCCTAGCAATAATCGGGCTGTGCAAGAGGCTGCCGTGGTGGCTGAACAACAAAAAAGCCAGATTTCGCCGAAAACCAAACTGCAGCACGCTGACATTGAGTGATGAATGAGGGGTCGAGGTGAACACGGAGCTTTGGAGAGGGACACGCAGCTATGTTCCACATGTGCTTACAACTATTAATGGCTTTATAATTTCCCACCAAAGTAGGCTGGTTGTCCGTTTACATTTTTAGGAACAAATGGTTCATCGTACGAAAGTCAAACGAATTGAAAAGAGTCAATCGGCATTTTGTTTGTGCGTTCAGAATAAGCTTACGTTGTTTATTCATTGCCACACGTACACACGTGCACGCACAAGTTATAAAACACAGCCGTTTGATCAGGGCACACATTGACAAACGTTTTAGAAAGCTTCAATCACTACGGCGATCTCTTTTTAAAAGGAGGGTACGGGAACGTCTTAGGTCTCTCAACAAATAGTTTGCCGAAACAAAGTGAAGAATAAGCTGAAATTTTGCCCAACAGATGGAATGACATTTGGTGTCCATTTGTTACACATTTAGCATCGTTTGGGCTTGCCAGACGCGTTGGTAAGCAGGCGGCTCTCGGCTTAGGGCGACGGAGCCAGATACCCGAGACCTCACCCGCAGTGTCTCCTCCGCCCCCAGGCAAAGTGGCTTCCCATTTCACATCCATAACATTTTCATCTTCATCATCAACCGCCGTGATCAATCTACTGCTGGATGAAGGCCTCCCCCACCCCCCCCCAAGCTGTCACCATCTCTCATGCTCCCGCGATGCAATAATCCACGGAGCATTCACGCACGAGCTGATTTAATCGCTCATTGTCCTCTGTGGACTTACTCTCAGATGAATTCCAGTCCATGGCTACGACTGCCATCGTTATACTTGACCATCAGCCGCCTTCCTTTCCAGCCGAGACGGGTCCTAACCCAAGCCTGCTTACTGTTCTAAACAAGTTATAATGATGTCATTAATCTGCATATATCCTCTAATCCGCGTGTTCCTATTTCCCTCTCTCAGTGTCATCCCAAGCGTGCATCTGTCCATGCTCTCATCCTAACAACAACAACGTGTTTCTGTATTCAGCCGCATGTCTTATGTATGGAAATTAAATATGCATCATTGTTATTGTCATGGAATTAAAAAATAATCTGGACAGATGTCCATTAAATAATGTATGATTTGTTTTTTTGTTCTTGAAACATTCGTCTTAAGTTTAATTAGCATACCACTGTCAACGATGGTTGCATTGGGAAACTACAGCGTGGGAAATTCGAATAGAGAAATAAACGGCTCTCATCGCAGTTAAATGTGAAGTAGGCACTGGGTTGACCGAACATACAATTACAGAGAGAGATAAAAAAAACTTTTGTAACATGAAGCAGGAATAAAAGCAGGCTATAGGTAAAGTCACCATATTCTCTGGATTATACGATGCCCTGTAAAGTGTGGCTTGCCCTCAACATGTGCCTGGTGTCAATAAAGCAATACGCTTGTGGTCACGCAGACACACACATCTACCAGACCGGAAGAGGCACCCCCACATTTCCTGTAATAACCAGGGAATTCTGAAAACATGGTAATGTTTTATTTGAGGAAAAACAAATAACAACAGGTTGTTATTTTTCAGAAAACCTTACATCAAGTCCTTCCTCACACATAGCAATGTATCATGAGGAACGGATCGGACGGGCCTGAAGAAATACGAAGCGGATTTGGGATTCCTACAAATGTTAAAACTGGCCAATGGCTAGGGTCAAATACAGCACTCCGTGTCGTCAAAGTGATTCTTCTACACCGATCACGGGGACTCCATTTCTCACTCAATGTTTTCCAGAACACTGCTAGGGGCCGCCTTGGAGTAGGGATTGTGGGTATAGGGGCAACCCTTGAGCGCTGCAACTCAAGCACGTCTCTTAGACACCACCACACATGCCACCCCCAATATCAAGAAGGCAAAAGTCGCGCGAAAATGATTGTGGCGCGCCGGCATTTTTTTCCTGAAAGAGTATTTCCGTACTGTTGCAGTTACCTTTTAAGTGTTGCTTATCACTGATGGGGCATCGGGCAGAGGTGCAGTGGAAAATACATGCGTCTCTTACGCAATGACACTCATGGTCTCACGCACGACCTCCTGTATACCAGGCGAGGGAGTTAACATCTCGCCACGATTCTGGCCACAGCAAACTGGGCTGAAGTCAGACATCGAGTGATCCAACGCGATCTCTAATGGGAAAGCAACTGTCTCAACCATCGCTGGATTCAATCCGCCACTCTGCAAGATAATTATTTTACAATGAACTCGATTCAAGGGTTTTTTTTTCTCTTCTCAAAAATACTTTCAATTACATGCAAATCAAGTAATCCTTCTCAGCATTTTTCAAAATGAGACAAAATATTTTACAGTCAACGTAGTAATTACATTTACATATTTATAAGAGTAACTGATAATCGGCTTTGCTACTCCATGGGAAGTGAATTACCTGGTTCACCGATGATGGGATAGCCACCCATGCAGCGCAACTAATGGTGATGGGGGTGTTGGTACTTTCATATCATCGAGGATAAATGTCACGTCTTCATTAAAATTCCTCAGATTTTTTTGTCTCTCTCGATGAGTCCCACCACCAATTTTTTGACAACATTTGGGGTTGGAGGGCTGAGCGATGGGTTCGAGGCTGGGACACCTAACTGTGAGTTAGAGCAATAACATTCTGTAGACGTAGCTTTTGTACGGACCCATAATGTTATGCTAACATAGTTTTGGTAAATAATATGCTGAAGTACTTAGCACGATGCTGGAAACGATTTGGAACATTAGACTGAATAAGCCTGAAGAGTAAAAACAATCAACCTCGAAGCCATCATCTTTGCGGGCCCAGAAAGATATGTATTATATATGTGTTAAGTATACGGATATAATCAATTTTAAAAGATAAAAGTGTAGGCTGGCAATTTACTTGGTCATGCACTGCTGGAAGTAGGGCATCCACTAGATACTATTGTGAGCTACTCTTCCATTCTAGATTTGAAGTTTTCGTGACTGCAAGGATCCATACTCTTTGGTTCTTTCGGTAAAGTCACGTAGGTGAAAAAATCTAAATCTAAATAAATAAATCACTCTTCCATGCAATACGTCTTTAAAGTGGTGTGAGTACCTACCTGGCCTCAACGTGCACCTAGCCTGGCACAAGCGTCGTGGTGACGTCACTCCCACTTAGTGACGAATGGCGGTTGTTGTTGTTGTACCTACGCGTCACCTCACACACTACCTGCCCATTGACTAACTGTGGTGTTTAAACAAACTTGCTCATCACTTTAACTGTCATGGCTGACAAATCGAACACGTGACTGCATGCCAAGCGTGTTAACCATGGGCCCTCTCAACTACATCATTGGCAAATTCCATCCTTCTAGTACTTGTAGAACACATCCTTATAATTGATATCGGTCGCTCGCACGCTCGGTTACGATCATCTCCGCGTGTTAAGTCAGCCGATAGGATCGCCACAGATCAGAGCAACCGTGGCATTCATCTCCCACCTTTTCCAGCTGCGCCCGTGGCATCGCCCACGTGGCCTGGCCGACCGGCGTCCCGCACGCCCGGCTGAACGGGCATCGCCTGGAACTGCCAGTTGAGCCCATACACGTGCAGCACTACGGAGCAGAGGAGGAGGGGATGAGGGGGAGGGGAGGGGGCAATCATGCGTGTTAAAACAATCCGTGCGTATACTCGTGTTGACAAAAACCAGGGACATGGATGGCTCTTCGATGTGTTTTCAGGTTGGGCCGTGTATATATTTTTTTTGGCGCGATGTACTCGACGCTTCGCCCCACGAGCTGGGAGCTTCTTCGGCAAAACCAAGTGCGCTGCGTCCTCTTGCCAGGAGACGAACCCAAGAAGCTGCCAGCACGTGGAGTAAAACGTTAGACATCGTGCCCAACAGCAACATGCGGTATTAACCTAGAGACAGACCAGAAGGCTACAACAGCACAGCTGTGAAAATCCATGCAGTGAAACCAGACAATATCCACAATTTATAATAACGATGCAGACACCCCAGTGGTCCTTACTTTTTGGCCACTTTCCACATTCATTCTTGTCTCAGCGTGGCCCATCACAGTAATCTTTGTTGCCATAATCATCAATCACTGCATTCCCTGTGGCTTGTCGGCTTTGTGAGACCAAACATACTGCATTGCCATAATGATAATACGAATAATAATAATATATAGAAATAGCTGCTAATTCCTAGCCAATAATATTACTGAAGCAGCTGAATGACTCTAGGGGCCAATGCTTACGTCAAGGTATCAGCAGCTATATTTGCTTGAGGTGCACGTGCACTGCCATCTCTGTCCATCCACTGCTGAACGAGGGCCTCCTTTTTTGCAATGTGAGTCAGAGGAGCTATTTAACCTTTCTACAATGGCCAGTGCTTGTTGTTGAAAGCAAGGAGCATAGGCATGGGTGCATAGATGTACAGTACAATTATATATTTTGCTGCCGCCCCCACCCACTTCCACATAGCTCTGAAGATTTTAGCAACTCACTATATTGCCGTGGTCACCCATCAGAATATATATTATCCAGGCTCAAATACTCTCCTTAGCTTCTGAGATCGGACGGGACTTGATGCATTCCGGGCTATTGGGTCACAGGCCCTTGAGGAGCACACAAGAAGAAATGAAATTTATTGACCAAAGTCAACACCATTTTATATGTGCATTAAGTTAAATAGCCTTTCGCGCAGGCGCTGGTAATTAAATAACATTTTTTTTAAGTCACAAAAATGGTGCACACACTTAATTTGACGCATGCACTTCCAGAGGAAAAAAAATTCCAGCAACAAGTGAAGGGTAAAAATGTTTTGGCCATTTCGACAGTGAAATCTCTCTGGAGAGAGCTGAGGTAGAAAGGGCTGCACTTGATGATATATTAGGAGGCGTGCAGTCAGGGCTTAATGCAGAGCTGTGCCTGGCAGACTTGTGCCTGGCTCAGTGACGAGAGGCACTGAAACGGAAGATTTCTCCCACTCTTCATCCATTACTCATTGATTTTTAGCACTGTGAGAGAAATGTTTTAAAGTAATTGAATAAGCAGAAAAAGGATTAAATTCGCTGCTCGGGAATTTAAAAGAAACAATAAACTGATGTTTATTTATGAAAATATAAAGGGGACCACCTGCTAACATTAGGCCAGATAATGCGGTTTGTTTAGTTAATCTGGGGCTTAAAAGGCAGGGCCGGCGTTTTGCTCTGTTTTGGCATTCACTGGCACACAAACAGCGGCTGAAATGCTTGGTGATGGGACGGGGGCGTTCCCTGGAGACTTCACAGACCATGGCCAGGCAGACCGCAGTGCACACGCACCCTTGGATCACCCCATCACCACACATTATTGTAGTTTGAGTTACAAGGGTGGCAAGATTCCATCTTTGAGAATTCGTGTCAAGAATAAAGAACAGTTCTCCGTGAAGGGTAAAATGCTATGAAGGCGAGAATGCCAGTAGCATGCTGAAAATACATTTTGACGAAACATCATTCATCATTTTAAGAATTATATCTCATTGATGTACTGCTCTGGGAAAAACCGAGGTCATCAAAAATACATATCCGGATTACATGCATTAAAATTGTTTATTATTGCAAGCACATTATTACACGTTTTTTTTTATCTCTCACTTTATATTTATACGGGAGTGCGTATCCTTCACGTATATTAATTCCACATACTTTTTCATAAGCACATAATCCCATGTATAATAGAACAGGTCATCACAGAGGATTGCGAAGCGGCAGCAAAAAAATAAATTACAGTACATGAATAATTATTGGAGAAAGAAGAACATATATATATATATAACCTATTCTAATGCAGCTGGCCGGGTGAGTTAGTGGGATAAATCCCTCTATCAGCATACTATGCCTGACGTCTCTGGGGTGCGGAGATTAAACCCGGCCCCGAGAGCAGCTGCTGGATCGCACGGTTGCGAGTTTTCCCCGTACGGAATCAGCCGTGCGTGGGCATTATTCAGCGGTGGCACAAAACGAGCCTACCCCCCCACCGTCCCGTCCCCCCCGTAGAATTTTACGGCACCGGTCAGCGATGTGGCACTCAGTTGCTTTACTGGGCAGTGAGAAGAGAGGCCATGCACCAGAGGTCGCAAACGGGTTTTGATTCCTTACCCGTACCCGTACCCGGCCGCACCAGGGTCGCAAATGGGTACCCGTACCCGGCCGGGTATGGGTACCCGTTCCCTACCCGTACCCGTACCCTACCCGAAATGAGTGACAAACGGTTACTCACCAGTGACTCACGGCTAACCGTACCCGGCCGGGTACGGGTAGCCGGGTATCGGGTAGGGTACGGGTATCGGGTACCCGGTTGCGACCTCTGCCATGCACACACCAAGATGGCTACTCTGGCATAAGGGGAAGGCTTCGAGGAAGGAAAAAATAAACAAACGGAGAGTTTTGAGGGCTTCCTGACGGAGGGCAGCGAGAGAAGACTTAACGCGGACCCCCGGCTATGATCTGCGCCTGGCCGACAGCTGCCGAACCTGGCAGCTCAACGATAAGAAATGTTTTCGTGACTAATCCAACGCCTATTGATTGGAGACAATTTGAACGGTGACAGGAATGAAATATTACAAAAAATTCGTCAGACTCTTATTTATTAAAACGACTAATTGATTACCCATTCAAACATAAACCTGGCAGCAATTGTATATAGATTTTTGTTAGTTTTTAATTTCTATGTTGTTGCGTTTAATAAAAGGCATATTGGATAGCTATATATGAACAGGCAGTAAGTAAACCCAACTCAATTTTGTGTCTAATAAAGTACAGTCCACAGGTCCTGAGGTTTGAACCAAGAAGCTGGTCTCTTCACTTGAGGGACGAAAAGACGGAAATAAAAAGAGATTACCCTGGGAGTGCCCCACCAAGGTTGATTCAGCCACAAATGAGTAGCAGGGCAAGGCCCTCCCTCAGGTCAACTCAACATGAAATAAAGTCCCAGCGAGAGGCTTCCTGGCCTGACTGGTCACATTAGTATGCTGCGAGGGCTCCCGCCGAATGTCGTCGACTCTGGAAATGATTGCCGCGTGCGATGCTCGCCGCGAGCTGCCTCCGCACGGCACGAGCTGGCTGCCCCAGCCTCGCACGACCATCTGACAAACAACAAGTCCCACAATGGCGGCACTCGCCAAGTCGACTTCATCGGGGGGGAGGGGGGAAGGGGGTGGTCATCCTTTTTTATTTTGAATCAGACATTTTTTCCTCTCTCTCTCTCTCACCGATAAGGTAACTTTCCATTTGTTTTGTTTCACCCTTTGAAGGAGACGTGATTGAATAAAGAAAGGATAGGTATCTTTTCCATCTTCCCATCGAGCCGAGGCAGTGAATCTCAGCCAAGGCTGGCAGAATTCCCGTTAAGAGTCGAGGTTATTTACAATCTCTGGATCCATACAAATGGCATATTAACAAGGACATCAGAGAAATGTCATTTTTAAATTGTACCTTTTCACACCTATGGATCTCATCCTCCCATTTCCTCCAGCCCGGGGTCTCACGATGCAGCCTCTTTCCACATGATGTAACACAATTTTCCCAAGCCACAGGCCCAAAACGAGTTACATATTTCCCTTTTCCGTATTAAAAAAGGACACCATCACCGTGCATTAATATAATAGCTCCTTCATATAAATTTCGACTGCTTCAGTATAAGAATTTCCGGATGAAATTACCTGCCTTTCACCAATGTTCGGAAATGCTGATTGCATTTATTACCTCCATTTGAAAAGACAGCAATAACAACAAATAGCACAATTTAAAACCCTGACAGATTAACCGATCCTGGCTTGGCATGTCTTTAAATATTTGTGAACATATATACACACACACACAGGCACACGGTAGGTGGATAAGGCACAGCATGTGAGTGTTTAAGTTGAGTGATTGAGATAGCAACTCCATAATATCCTGCGCAAGGGATGAGCAGTGGAAAGTACAGATGTAAACGTCTTTCTGCCCACGTTGTGTCTTTGTTATTGAAACAATTCTCGCATAGGAAACTGCACGATAAATTGTCCTTTCTTAAAACGAATGCAGCTCGGATACATAGCTAATAATAAAGTGCAAGGCAACTAAAATTGAATGTGTGTGGTGTTCAGATTTCCACGTATTGAGTATTTCTTCTCTCGAGATTTTGCCAAGCACTCCGGCCACAACAACTTCCAGGAGCTGAGAGTTATGGACGAGTCAGGGTCATGCTGGCGGTTGGGGTCTACAACTGCTGAAGCTGCCCGCAGTTTTGTGAGTGGTGAAATTCCGAGAGAAGAAATGATCAGCAAGCAGCCTGAACCCAGGTACGTCCACATTGGGATTACGCGGGAGGCTGCGAAAGCCTGCGAGCTAAATTGAAAACTAACTCCTGAGAGACATTTCAGAAAGTTTAGGCCGATCGAACTGTCACCAACTCCTTCAACTCTTTCGTCAATCTGGGGGTGTTCAGTCAACCAAGTTTCATTTATAATGGCATGAACCACATCACATCCCTTCAACCTTCATTGGCTGTTCCACCAGGAGTTGCGCTAACTGTTTAATCTTGGTGACAGAATTAAAGCTTAAATTAATTCAATTTTGGAGGGCTG